TAGTTAAAAACTTGGAGACGATATAATGGTTATCATTGCTCACTTGTCCTCGCTTCTAGATATATCTCTTGTTCTATTTTTACTGCTCCAAAACTGCCTGCTCTGTCTGTTGTTTAATACCCTGGCAGATCTTTTTTCCAATCTATTAGTGCGAACTTCTTCACATTTTGTCATTTTATAACCACAAATGTGGATGTTTTTTTATTGGGATTTTACATAATAGAAAAACGCAAAGCAGCAAATGGATTTAAATGTTGTTTTTTTTTGTAAGTTAAGTTCTATAAAGTTTTGCACATTTGTACTCTGTGTCTGTTGCGGAAAGATGATTATGCTTTGATGTGAACTGTTTGCTGTTTCTATTATTATATTTCTATTTAAAGGTTTCCTTCAGTTCAACTATCCATTATTGTGCAACTTCTGAGATATTTACTTCTAGGAGTGTCACCCATCCTCCCGTTCATGCTGACCAACATGTTTCTCCCCCGGTGAAGAACAACATTCCCCACAGATAGATTCTTCTGCCATTTCTTCCTTTGTGTTGAGGATGTCTTCAGGGTCAGGGTTCTTGCCAGTGTATTTCAGCATAGAGAGCGCTGCAGGAAAAACAATCACCGTTAAGTTGAAACTCAGGCTGATATGGTCGTGTTTTACGAGTGTAACGGCCCTTTGACTGGCTTTGGGCTTCCTCTAAAATCTAAAATCTAAAATTTTTTCAGTTACAAATGAAATATGCCGATACCCTGATTTTTAATGAGTGCAACGGCAGCAGAAACTGTTTTTGAACATATTTACCTTCTTATTTGCACATAAACATCAGAGCAGCGAAGTGAGAACCTGTACCTTGCACTGCTGAGATGTTCAGCTCACTAGGGCAGGTAAACATGCTACAACCCTGACAGCAGACAGCAAGCTTTGAGGAAAAAAATAAATAAGTCAATATCCTGAATTTTAATGAACGTAACGGCTGCTGTGCTTTTAAACACATTTACCTCCTTATTGCACACATTGAGGGAAGCGATTTGAAAACGCCAAACCGTGCACCTTTTAGACTGTCATCACCTCACTGAGTTGAGCTGACCAACTCAGCAACTTTTTTGTTTAAAAAGTGACTAGTGACCATTTCCTTTCTTTTTAGGGACTTTGGTGACAATGTGAAAACAGTGTCAGCGTCTTCAATAAGAAGTTAGGGAGCCCCTCCCTCCTACAAAACACTGAGTCAGACGCAGCAGCTGCAGTCGGAGAGAGAAGAGCGACTCTCCTCTGTTTTATTCATTGAATATGAAGGAAACTTTATTGTGATAAAGTTCATTATTTTCCATAATGTAATGATAAAACTTGAACATTCATATATTTTAGATTCATTGCACACTAAATGAAATATTTCAGGTCTTTTATTGTCTTAATACAGATTATTTTGGCATACAGCTCATGAAAACCCAAAATTCCTATCTCATAAATTTAGCATATTGCATCCGACCAATAAAAGAAGTGTTCTTAATACAAAAAAAAGGCTACCTTCAAATAATCATGTCCAGTTATGCACTCAATACTTGGTCGGGAATCCTTTTGCAGAAATGACTGCATCAATGCGGCGTGGCATGGAGGCAATCAGCCTGTGGCACTGCTGAGGTGTTATGGAGGCCCAGAATGCTTCAATAGCGGCCTTTAGCTCATCCACAGTGTTGGGTCTTGTGTCTCTCTACCTTCTCTCCACAATATCCCACAGATTCTCTTTGGGGTTCAGGTCAGGAGAGTTGGTAGGCCAATTGAGCACAGTGATACCATGGTCAGTAAACCATTTACTAGTGGTTTTGGCACTGTGAGCAGGTGCCAGGTCGTGCTGAAAAATGAAATCTTCATCTCCATAAAGCTTTTCAGCAGATGGAAGCATGAAGTGCTCCAAAATCTCCTGATAGCTAGCTGCATTGACCTGGCCCTTGATAAAACACAGTGGACCAACACCAGCAGCTGACATGACACCCCAGACCATCACTGACTGTGGGTACTTGACACTGGACTGCTGGCATTTTGGCATTTCCTTCTCCCCAGCCTTCCTTCAGACTCCGGCACCTTGATTTCCAAATGACGTGCAAAACTGAGCAACAGTCCAGAGCTGCTTCTCTGTAGCCCAGGTCAGGCACCTCTGCTGCTGTTTCTGGTTCAAAAGTGGCTTGACCTGGGGAATGCGGCGGCTGTAGCCCATTTCCTGCACACGCTGTGCACGGTGGCTCTGGATGTTTCTACTCCAGACTCAGTCCACTGCTTCCGCAGGTCCCCCAAGGTCTGGAATTGGCCCTTCTCCACAATCTTCCTTAGGGTCCGGTCACCTCTTGTCGTTGTGCTGCGTTTTCGGCCAAACTTTTTCCTTCCCACTGAGGTGCCTTGATTCAGCACTCTGGGAACAGCCTATTGGTTCAGAAATATCTTTCTGTGTCATCCCCTCTTGCTTGAGGATGTCAATGATGGCCTTCTGGACAGCATTCAGGTCGGCAGTCTAACCCATGATCGGGGTTTTGAGTGATGAACCAGGCTGGGAGTTTTAAAGGCCTCAGGAATCTTTTGCAGGTGTTTAGAGTTAATTTGTTGATTCAGACAAATAGGTGCATAGCTCGTTTAGAGACCCTTTTCATGATATGCTAATTTTGTTTGATAGGAATTTTTGGTTTATGCTGTATGCTAAAATCATCTGTATTAAGACAATAAAAGACCTGAAAATTTCAGTTAGTGTGCAATGAATCTAAAATATATGAATGTTCAAGTTTTATCATTACATTATGGAAAATAATTAACTTTATCACAATATGCTAATATTTTGAGAAGGACCTGTAGATCCTCTGTGCATTTAAGTCATAAACATCATCATCCACTGTGTACCTCTGTTTTTAAGTTGAATTTGATAACATAAAACTGATTTAGATTAGATAGTTTAGGTTAAAATAGCCTTCTGGAACACTAGAAAATGTTTTATAAAGTTTATATTGAGTTTTAAATATATTTCGAGTCTATTTAATGATGTCATTTTGCAACATTCTCCCCGGCTACACTCATAAGAAATCCTGATGAGAACCCTCGGGGTGATCTGCAAAGTTTCATTCCCTTAACAAGTTTTTTTTTTTTTATATAGATAAAGGTTAAATAGATCCACATCTTCCATGCTTGCCTTGTCCCTTGCATGTGGCAAACCTTCTACTGTATTTATTTCACTGCTGACTTTGCCACTCTTTCATTAAGCTCAGATTTATGAAGTTTACAACTAGTTGTGGTCCCAGCAGCCCATTCTGTCACTATTGTTTTGGACCTCTACAGCTCATCCAGAGTTTACAGATGATTGTTCATTATTGTCTCAGAGTAAACAATGCTTTGTATGTCTTTCTATAACCCATCCTCATTTAAAACTTCTGAATAACTTTTTTTCTCTGAGCTGCTGGCTGTGTTTCTGCTCAAGCTATCTATGAAGCACTTTGTTTAATCAATACTCTAATAAACCTGCAAGGACTTCATGGAACAGCTGGATTAATACTGGGATGAAATTCATAATTAATTGTTTTTTTATGTGGAATTTATTTAGACATGTAAGAGTAAAGACAGCGTTAAAAAAAAAATACACACGACAACTCTTTTATTTTTCTAATTAAAACGTTTGGACAAAATTTGAATTTAAATCACGCACTTCTTTTCTTTAGTGTGATATTGCATGGAAGTTGTGTTTTTAACATGACATAATGTGGAAAAAGTCACTAGTTAGAAATACTTTATATCTATTGTTTGCCACCATCTTTTTATGCATGTGTTGAGGTGAGAAAATGAAAGTAGAGGAGATAATTGTGTACCAGGGATAAATCCATCCCTCATCGGTTGAGATTAGGTGGTTTTGTTTTGTGTGCTTTTAATCAGTCATTAATTAATTTAGGACAATAGGTTCTCAGCTCATAATGGGTCGAGCGATCAATCATCTGACTCTCTGACTTGCGCGTTTGAGCGCTCCTAACGAGATACTCTCAATTAACCCGACTCAGTCTGCGCCTCTTTATCATTACTGGAACCACGTTGACTTAATGAAAAGAAACGCCACAGAGTAGGAGGAGTAAAACAAAACAAAAAAAACGGGAAGTTCATTAGCTAATAAGTCCACCTTAACCAGAAACGAGTGCAGCCTGTTCTGGTCGCATTTCTTCTGAGCTTTTTGCTTTCTGTGTGTGTGTGCACATGTAGGGGATGTGTGAATGTCTTTTATTCTTGCCCTTCAGCATGGGTGATCTGCTTACGGTCGCCTCCAACCTGGAGTTGACAAAAATCAATATATCATCACCTGGGGCTTCACACACATACACACACACATTGACAAAAGCAGCAGTGAGCACAGGTACCACATGGAGGGAGACAGAGCTAAATAAACACGCAGCCAAGTTTAGCCAAGCTCTGAATGCTGTAATGGAAACTTCCCACAGACTTCGCTCCAACAAAGGTCAGCTAACATTTGGCTCCTTGTAGACCTCAAACTGCCTCTTCAGAACACTACAGAGAGGAAGTCACGCTAACACTCTGAACGTAGGCGGGGAGATACGGACAGCGTGTCAAGTTGATCTTTACATTTATTCTGTCCTTTTTTTTCTGTCTGGGGTGAAGGGAGGGTAAATTATCAGTTAAAAAGATTAAAAGGGCCATCAGAGACAGTGGCTGTAGTGATTATCGACCGTGCAATAAGAACTCATGAGTGTGTGTATTGACTGCCGTGTCTGTTGTCTTGTTTGGTATTGATGACATTGTGAATGCGGATGCTGACCCCTTAGATGCTTATCAGAGCCTCTGATCACTGTCATTGATCGAGCTGCCTGGAGGATGCACAACAATGCCGACCACAACAATGTTGCTCGTCTCTGTAGATTTATTTACAGCAATGGCTCAGAATACTTTCTATTAATGCATGAAAAATATTTTGTTTTTATTGAAGTATTAATTTTTTTTAGATTTCTGTCTTATCTCTTTGAATCTCTTTTTAGATGGCTGTGGATGTATTGGAAGGTCTCCTGGAGGAAGATGATGAAGTTGTTCAGGTAAGCAGTATACATGTTTAGTGAAAGAAATTGTAAAATATGTTTAAAGTAAGTTGTAAATTATGTGTGCAGCACTGAGTGATCCATTTTTCCAAACTCCTCACCCCCAGCTACAAAATTTTTTTAGAATCTTCTAAATATGTTTTGATCCAGCCTCCTTCTTACTGCTGTTTTATTTATTTATTTTTTTTTTTTTACAAAGTCCATGTTTAAATCCCAGCCTTTATTTAACATTTCTACTGCAAGTACCTTGGGAGTTGTTGTAATTAATTTAGGAAACTGGCAAACACTTCATTATTAAACAGTGAGTTTTAGGGTTAAAATGTGGGGGAAAAAACCCTGAAATCACATCCATGATTTCTCCCTAAAGATGACTGTTCTGACAAAGTTATTTCTAATTTGTTTTACAAATTTGTTTTACAAATTAGCAAATTAGAAATTAAATTTACAGAAGGGATTAGTTCTGTAAATGTAACAGAATTAGCCCTAAAAGGTCTTTTTATCTGCTTTACCTGGACAGACTTTTAACAGTCATCCTAAAAAAAAAAAAAAAAAAAAAAGATACCGGTAAGTTAAAATACATACAAAATAACACTCATATACATAAGGTAAAAACATAAAGAACTGCTGGCATCATTTTGCATTTGTTTTCTTTATTTTCTAGCTTTTCTGACTGTTATTCTGCTTTTGTTTGGCTACCTAACTCCAACCTAGTACTCATTCAGGCCTAAAAAAAGACTCTCAAACTCAGAAGATGAACAGCTTGGTTGCCAAATAGGCAGTTTTAAATGGATAGTGATGGAATTTGTTGCCAGCAGGCTGTTACTGACACATTTTTGGCATTTGTTTGCTTTACTGCATTTCTATCCAACAATTTCTGGGTGTAGGTGTACTGTGAATATACTAAAATATGCATCACAACAAACAACGCCACCTTAAGAAATGTATGTCCAGATGTACTTTCCTGCATAGTAGAAAATAATTCTGCTCCTGAATTTAAATCCATACCTTTTTCCATAATTAAAGCTACAGTGTGTAATTTTCAGCGACATCTAACGTCCAGACTGCAGACTGCAGCAAAATGAACGTCTCCCCCCCACCGCTTCTCCCCCCCAACAGTACGGCAAGCGTTAGGGGACAAAATGTCTTCCACGACGTCGGAATCACCTACCTTCTCAAGTGATGAGGTTTGTTTACATAGATAATTTTACAGATAGTATTTCATTAGTCTGTGTAGGGTATAGATTTCATGTAGACTTTAGATAATAAATATACCCGTTATTTTTTCTACATCGTTGTGACGTTTTGGTGAGCTGCTTTGCATGGTGATATAAACAGACGAAGGAATTGTAGTCATTAGTTTAACAGCAAGATTGTGTTCGCTGGAAGAATATATATTCCCCGTTTACAGAGTCCAAGTCTTGTTTGTGGCACGGGGGTTACAAGGCGAGGAAGAGGGCGAGGGCAGAGAGGCCGGGGTGGGCGTGCAGCTAGGGCCAGGCGAGGGAGGGGAGCCAGCGGGGTGAGAGCAGAGGAAGAAAGGCTTGAAGATCTCCAAAGGAGCCGGAGAGAAGTAACCGAGGTATATATCCAGAAAATTATTTTACAGAAAATTACTGAATCATTACCTGTGAAACGTCAGGGACGTTGCTGAATAAGTATACTGGAGAGTAACAGCATCATCACGCAGCATGTTATTGTTTTAGACAGGTCTGAGCATTCTGTACTCCAAAAACTGCAGTGATATTAGACAATTGTGTGTGTAGGATTAATTACCTGTCCAAGAGAAAACTGGCAACTTGAGCGTCACTTTGAAAACCTTTTTCCTCCATCAGTGACTTCCATCGTGTAAATGCCGTGCCAATGTTGATCCGTGTTTTTTGTTGTTTCTTGTCACGCTTGCGTTTATTCTCGTCGTGTTTCCGCTTCTTAGATGACGGGGGTTCGGTGCCCGCCGCTTTTCGTTGTGATACAGAGTAGGCATGATCCTCCATTCGTCTGATGTTTGGCCACACAGTGCCAAACAGTTTGCAAAGTCACTCGCGCCTGCCGCCTTGTTCACCTTTCTTGTTACTGAGGCGCAGTATACCTGCTTCTTCTTCTTCTTTGGTTTCAGGCAGACTAAACGCTTCTCAGGCATAATACTGCCATCTACTGTTCAGTACCGTCTCAGTTAATCTCTCTCAACTTGCCGTAGTTATTTTCGAGCGTAATGGGTGATCTCGCAATCGCTAGTTTGTTGCCTCTGCGCTTGCCGTAGCGCAAAGATGTCAGCCTCCATGGCTGCGAGACCCGCTCCTATGTAATTATAAATAACGAATTCTAAGGCAACGCAAATATTATGGTTAAATGGCTGAGCTCATAGGTGATGATAAATAACATAGTTATGTATAATATATTAAATTTCTGACTTTATATCCCTGTAATTATTACACACTGTAGCTTTAACTAACCAGGTCTCTTTTAAGGCAAAACATATAGAGGACAAGATTAGGACAGGAGCAGGAAATGTAATGACTAAAACCACTTGCCATGAAACATTTAAAAACTAAGATTGTTTGTCAGAAGGCACTAAATTAAGTTGCCCTATGTAAAGCTTTGAAATTACATACCAGAGGGTAAATACACAAATTTAAGTCAGTAAAGCTAAATTTTCCCTCTTTAAGCTGGTTTTCATTTAATTAAGGGCTGCTTAATTTCCAATGGTCCTAGTCAGCTTGTAAGACAAATGCTCTTGTAACATTAACATATATTTTCTAACAATCATGTTTTTCACTTATTTTGTAAACTTGGATTAAACTATGTATCCTTACCACTAACTAGCTTCTGCATTCTGTGCAGAATAGAAGGTGTTAGTCTTCAGGTTGGGACAGCTAAGCAGGTCTGACTTGCTCAATAAAAAAATAAAATAAAGTCTGTCTAGTTCACACTTGTTTTTGATTGTTTACTTCTATTTTGTGCCTTTGCAAATTGTAAATTGATAATTTTGCATTGTTTGTGGACAGTTCAACAATGAAAAACGTATAAAAATGGATCGTGAAAAGAACCAAAGTGGAATTTCAAATACTGTTTATATGTCCATACTTCAGAAAAACTATCATTGGTACTAATGATGATCAGCAAGCACACAGACATAGCGATGAAGGGTCCAGTTGAACCAGCCAGCTCTGCCATGACTGCACAGCATAGAAAATGATCCATAGTATCATGTATATTATAACAAAAAGAGCATAGTTTGTTGTGAACTAAGTACTCAGTTCAGCTATGCATAATTCACAAAAATCAAATGATCTGCTTTGTTTGTTAGTGTATGCTTATGAATATGTATGACTGCGGTGCATTTGGTTTATGACTGGGATAAAGTAGCAGAATACGGTGTTTAGTAGTGATAAAGTAGCAGACTAGAGTGTTTATGAGTGGTAAAGATCCACGAAAAGGAATACAATAAAAAAAGAATATGTAACAGATTCAAGCTGGTTAAAGTTTTTAGGATGATAAGTCTTATAATTTCCAGTTCAAGCCTCTTTGGCTACGTTCACACTACAGCCTTGTCGCTCAATTCAATTAATTTTTTTTATGAAATCCGATTCTTTTGTGTGGTCATTCACATTTCCAAAAAATGCAACTTGTATGTGATCTACAGTGTGAACTGCATTGTCTCACATGCTCAGTAGAGGAAGCAATGACGTCACAAGCAAGCAGGCTCTGTGTTTACTGAAGTAAACACGGATTGTTGTGCTGGAGCGCTTCTTTCAATCTTTCATTTCTTTACCAACCTTAGCCAGTGCAGTAATAAAACAATCTTTTCAAGAAGGCTGAAAATAAAGTCTGGTCTCCGCATTATCGTCCACCATGGTTGTTGTTTTTCTAACTGCTTCTGCTTCTTGCTACCCTTACAAGACGATTGTTCTTGAGTATTAATGACGTTCAGGTCGAATGAATGTGAGCTGGCCGTTCAGACACAGGTCGCATTGGAAAAGATCAGATACGTATCGTATTCAGCACCACATAGCCAAGTAGCCTGGGTCGCATTGGATAAAATTGGATCTGTGTTGTTCATACTGTAATAAAAAGATCAGATACAAGTCGCAGGTGGGCAAAAATATCAGATTTGGGTCACTTCAGGCTGCTGTGTGAACTTAGCCTTTCTTAGTATCAGTCATGTATAATCAGAATCATATTTTAGCTGAAAGTTGTGTAGCTGGACAACTTCCCATGTCAGATTAAAGTTTTTTCCAGCTGGATGAAATATTCCTCAGAATCAACGTCTTAATCTGTTCAGGGGGTTTTTCTCCAGTGAGGTGTTTATAAAGGCTAACAAATCACCCTGAAACATGTTTCTTCGCATCTCCCTCACTTTTTACAATTAGCCTAACCATCTGTTTTCAGCACTTGTAATCTCCGTCTGAAATCAGGTCATCATGTCTACAAGATAAAGAAACGACACTTTGTTTTTTTTTCCCTTCTTGCTTCTTAGGAATGTTTGTTTGGAGGAAAATCCTGCTGTTGCAATTCCTAATTCCTCACTTTTGTTTTACCATTTGCCTGTACTATTGTTGCTGCTTTGGGTATTGATATATGTGACTTTTTTAAAATTTGCACAAATTGTTTTACATATTATGTTTATATACTAGGGGTGTAAATCACACGATTCAGTATCGATTTCCTGACCTTTTCGATACTCGAGAATACGTCACAATACGATTCGATGCGATTAATTTTTTTAAATTTTTTTTTTTTTTTACCTTACAGGCTAGACAATGTTTCAAATTTGAAATAAATCAATGAAAGCTGTAATATCGTTATGCATTTTATTTGAGAAACAACCGCAAATAACAGAAGTAGAAAAGTTGCACTCCACCTATTCCTGTTAAAACCTTATTCACTGAAAAGTCATAATACCCCAGTGTTATAGATTCTGAAAGGCCTTCCATCAAACTGTACAAAATCAGTGCAATGAGTGCAATTCAATACCTCGGCTCCAGACGTCCCCGCCTCCT